AACAGAAAACCAAAAAAAAAAAATTTTTTAATTATTTTCCACCAAAGATTCAATTAAAACACCCCTTTTAATAATAATTTTTTTTTTCACTTAAACGTACTTTGAAATAATTAAAAAAAAGGCCCCATAGCGCAAATAATTAAAAAAATAAAAAATTAAAATTTAATTAAAATTTTAGATATAAAAAAAAAAAAGTTTTTTTTAAAAAAAACCCAAACAAAAATGTTTTTGAAATGAAACCCAAAAAAAAAATTTATAAAAACTAGCAAAAAAACCTTTTAAAAGAAAAACCGAAATTTTATAACAAAAAATTTCAAACTAAAAATAACTTTTTGAATGAGAGATCGGAAATTATGACCAGTTATCGATACTAAAAAGTTCCTTTGAGTTTTATAGGAAGTGGGAATTGAAAAGAAAGTATGTATGTTCATTCCCCCCTCCTATATACATTTCAAACACTTGATTTTCACCTCCACCTTTCCCCTTCCCTCCTTCTACCTTCTCCTCGTCTTAGTCATTTATTTATTTATTAACTGTTGTTAGTTTTTCATATTTTTTTTCAATTGAAAAGAAATACTCATAAATTTTCATTAGGGTAGCTGGAGTTTTCCTTTAGTCTTTATTCATATTGCTATTTTACACATATATATTTTACTTATATCTGAAATTTTACACACGCAAACACATATACACCTACACACACACATACACACACATATATATATATATATGTATAATGGTTGTAGATACACACACACACACACACACACACACACACACACACACACACACACACACACACATATATATATATATATTATGAAAAGGACAAAGTCCGACAATTATTTTATGACATTTTTATGTTTATACGTTCTTTTTATAGATACAAATAAATAAAAATGTCTTAAAATAATTGTCGGACTTTGTCCATTTCATAATTTATGACGTCATTTCTTTAGATTTGGATACACATCGAGCAGATATGATAGTACGAGAGAAAATCATGGAGAATTGTAGTTTAAAAACGGTCAAATCGACCTTGCTAACCGAAAGCTCCTCTGCGGCTCAATCGGTAAAAACGCATCAAGCTCTATGACATTTCCGTATAGGATACAGGTTCGATTCCTGTCGGATGACGCATATCTTCTATGAAAATTTCTCGCACATTCAGGCCGGTAAATGTCGTTAATACTGTTTACTATAAACAGATCATTTACTTAAATATTTGTATCTATGAAAAGAACGTATAAACACAAAAAATGTCTTATATATATATATATATATATATATATACATATATTGACTACGTTATTTTAATAGATACAATTTATTTGACCAATTATTTAAATAAATTGTATCTGTATAACGTATAAACAGAATACATATATATATATATATATATATGTGTGTGTGTGTGTGTATACAAGCCATTACATATTTTAAATTACATATTAATTACGAATTTAAAATTAACTATTCCTGAGCTGTATGCATGTGTGTTTAGGAAAACTTGTCCCACTCCTTAGTGGCTGAGGCTCCAGTGGTCGTTATTTGCTAAAAGCCCGGATTTTGATTTTCGATTTTCAAGTCAGGTAGTTATTTTGCTTCTACTTGACAGTTCGGTGCACTATAAACTTTGGTTCGCCTCACATTTTGAACTTATTCCAAATACAACATATTTACTATTTCTACAAGCATCTGTATATTTTCCTGTTTTAGGCTGTCCAACTGTTTTTATATATATATATATATATATATATATATATATATATATACGTTTTTATATATATTATAAGTGGGTGTGTCATCTAAATTGTTTTCCTGCGTACGTGTCCTTATTTGTATAATTTGCGTATGAGCATATGTCAATATATATGTATATGCATAGTTTTGTTGCATATATGTTTGTTTTCTTATCTGCGTTTGCAGGTCTATTTTGATAGAGAGATTTTGAATATGTGCATAAGTGTCAAATCAAATCTTAGTAGATAAAAGTGTATAGGCTATATATATATATATATATATATATATATATATATATATATATATATATATATATTGAGGCAAGTTTCATTGAATAGTCTGGGGAAGGTATAAAAGACGAGAGGAAGTTACCATCTTTCTATATTTCTGAGATGACGTATTATGTACATTATTTACATTATTACTTTGTTATTTATCACAACGTTTCGACTGTTGTACACTACGGCCTTCTTCTGGTGTTTGGAATGTCGAACTGAACTCTTTATTTCGCTCACTGGTGTAGACTAGTTCTACGTGCCATGTCTACTGGATGTCAATTCTACTGAATTCCACTCTCCAAGTTCCCCACTGCCTTAACCAGGTATTGAACTTTGATTCCTGTCACTGGATCTAACTAACGCTTTTATCCACTGTGCCATGTGTCCCTGGGGACATCTGTATATGAATTTCTGGTTATTATAAACCTAATGTCTTCAGCAACATTTTTTTACCAGAGCTCATATTGCAATTTTCGTTGTTATTATTGCTTTTCTCTGGCACTCCTTATTGCTGGTTCCCATATTGGATTCATTTCTATGCTTGGTCGGCTCAGGAGATTCTTGTGGCCTAGCATATGGGCTGATTCCTTAGGTACACGAATTTTGCAATGATGTTCTTTGTCTATGATTTCAACCTGATTCCCCAGAGGGCGGTAAGCTGCCTTTTCTCTCCATTTGTGGTCAGCCACGCTTGATTTTTCCACTTCCCCTCGTGTTACAGCTTTCTGGTGTTCTTGAAGCCTTACCTTAAGGGGGCGGCCTGTCTCCCCTTTATATTTCCGCGCCTACACGGGATGGCGTATACACAGTTTTTAGTCATGTTCTCCTCTATGGGGGTTTTACTCGGGAGAGATATCGGCGAAGTGTCATCCAGCGTTTGAAGGTTGTCCTAATGTAACATGAATCGCACATCCTTTGTATTTTCTCTGAACGACCCCTTCACATAAGGCAGACAGACTGTTTTCTGAGTGTTGTTGATCCGGTTGATATCCTACTGCTATTAAGTATTACTCTTCAAGTATGAATTGGGTTCTCCGAACTGCTGGCGTATTTCGTATAGAGAAAATTCCTTCCCTTTCTGCCGTGCGACCTAGAGGTAAGCTATCTGACTGATGTCAGATCATTCAGGTTTCGATCCCGGCTTGAGGCAATCGGACGTCTATCCACACTGAGGAGATGTGATACAGCGAAACAGTCAATCTGTGGATGACTATATATATATATATATATATATATATATATATATATATATATATTGCGAATATTATCTCTTGTTTCGTCAAAAAGTCGAAAAAAGTTCCGTTTGAAAAAGTGTTAGCCGAAATGAATTCCTTTAGGAAAAGAAAAACAATTGTATATATATATATATATATATATATATATATATATGTATGTGTGTGTGTGTTTGCTTATGCTTGCTCATTATTGGTGCTTGCTTGAAAAAACACATGAGTGTGTCTTTATCTTCAGATGTAACACGTGTTTGCGTAAGCGTGTGCTTTAATACAACTGCGCATTAATAAGTCCGTAACATGTCATAGATATAAGTTCGATTTTGATCAGAAATTTTCACTTTATAGTGTTCAGTCTAAGTGAGTAATATCCATCATAGAAAGGGATCTTTCTAACAAATATATGTTGAGTAAAATAAATGCTTCTTGCTTTCAGTATAACGCTGCAAACTTATTGATGTACGTAAGTATACGTCAGCTTTATGTGTAAACTTATATATTGGCATAAGCAGTCTAAATGTCTATGTGTTGATACTTCGGATATGTTGGCCTTGTACTAGACTAACTTTTGTCAGCTTATTTTCTTACATATATATATTTATTACTATGAACGTTATTTTACCGAGTACACTTTTATGAAAGACTCTCTTTGTGTCCTTTATTTTCTTAAACAGTGAAATTAATAAAAGTCCTGCTAAAGAAAGTTTATAGATATCATAGAAATCTCAACTCGAAAAATTGTGCATTCCTTAAATAGGTAATTGATACCTTGTTTTATGCACACGGTAGCCTAGTTGGTACAGCGACGTTTCGTCTGTAAAAATGGCTTCCCTGAAAAGATGAAAGTGTAAAAAAAATAGATGGTACAGATTTGATTCTTGATGGAAACACAATGTTTCTTTAGTAGGACTTTATTGCTTAATAAATAAAAAAAAAATTTGCAGGAGAGCAACCCATAAACGTTAACCCATTAAAAATAAACAAATAATGTCAAATAAAACATTTATATATATATATATATATATATATATATAAAATCTGAATTGAAAATTGAAGATTTAAAATTGAAGCAGATATTTTTGTATAGTGCTCAATATTATAAAAATAGATAATATTGTTTTTGTTTAAGATTACAAAATAATTACGCAAGTGTAATATGTCAACTTTTAAAGGGATTCATCCGAGTATATACGGATTAACCCCTTGAAAAATAGACATATTACCACGAAATGAGGAATCGGGGAAATTACAGTTAAGTAATTCTTTTGTATACATGAAAGAATAATTATATATATATATATATATATATATATATATATATATATATATTATAATAATATATAATTATGTATATATATATAATAATATATAATTATATATATATATATATATATATATATATATATATATATATATATATATGATAAAAATATAACTTTAAGTTATGGTATATTTAAGGTTAAAAGTGCTCAATATCAGGAATGGAGCGTATGTAACTATTAAAGTGAGCATTGATGTAAACGCCAAACATTACGATATGTAACAGTGTAGATATTTTTTGTAAACGTGTTTTTTTTATACCAGACATATATGTATATGTATAATTTGATTTTGTGCGCGCACGTGTTTGTGTGTATGTGTTTGTACCTTTTGTTGTTCGTGGAAGAGGTGTGTGTGTGTGTGTGTGTGTGTCTTTCTGTACAGGCAACTTGTATTTCTTAAATAAACACTTATTTTAAATTCCGGGTTACGGCCAGATCACGTTGAAACACCTGTTCCCGTACGGCCATCGAAGTTAAGCAACGTTGAGCCTAGTCAGTGCCTAGATGGGTAACCGCATGGGAATAAAACAAGTATTGTAAGCTTGGATTATCGGGTGGTGTAATGCATAAGGCATCGGATTTGACAATCGGAGGGCCGAGTTCAAATTCAAGTTCGGTTTGCTATATTCACTTACGCACAAATATCTTTGGAAAAGATATAAATCCACCTCTATGGCACCCCCCCATTTATGGGTTAATTAGTAAGACTTGTATCACTAAACCATTATAATCTCCCAAACTAAAATAAAATTGTGTACAAAATATTTAGATTTCGGCATTAAAGAGGTTATGCCATAAAAAAATATAAGCAGCTAAAAAAGCCACCAACCGACCAACTGTTTTAAATTCATATATATATATATATATATATATATATATATATATGGAAAGAGAGGCAGGGAGAGAGGGGAGAGAGAGGCGGGAGCCAAATACGCATGCTGGCACACAGGCGAACGTACATAGCGACTAATATCTGCACACCCGCATCAAAATGTTATTGTTGATTCTTTCTTCCTTCTCAAAGCCCAAGCAAAAACCATCCCCTCACTCGCTTTGGAAAGATAGCAAAAAACGTCGACACCCAACTGTTAGCCAATCAAGTGACAAGACCCTGCCCTGCACGTTTGTTCGGGCCACGGGCTAAGTTATTGCCCGGTTTGTCCTAGTTTTGTAATTTTGTAGCCAACAACGTCTCTGGTACCACTAGGCGGATTACCCGCAAAAACGAAGCCTGAACGATATTTTGACATAACTAGTTTTCTCTCCTAGCAAATTCCACTGGGTGGTGCTATATTTAGGAATCAATGCATGAACGGGGTACCGACAATGGTATGGAGAGTGTGGGGTATCCATCCTAGCAGGAGTTGAAACAGGTCGTGTTGATCGTAGGAGTGATTTTAAATAGTTTTAATACTGATATCACTAATCTTATCAGTACTGACAAATGATATTTTTTGGTACTAAGTTGTGCTAGTGTTGCTGTTAGTATTTTAAGGGAATGTTAGTAGTGAAGAAATAGGTAGGTAGCTTTGTGATATAATAGTTATTAGATTTCCAAATACGTCTCATAAAATAAATCTCACGACTATTATGGGGTAGAAGTAGTAATTATTACTAATAGTACACAAAATGCAATTATTAGTCCTCCATCAAAACGCACTGTTGACTAGTGTTCATATTTACTAGCTCAGTCCTACCCAGACAGAAGATTGTCTGACTAGTCAATAAATAAACAAACCATGCTACTACTTGTTTTAAAAACTAGCGCTGAAGTTGCAAGTAACGAAATTTCAAATTTTATAGAACATGACTTTTAAAATTAGTAACTGTGGTCACAAAGCTTCTTCTTCTTCTTCTTCTTCTTCTTCTTCTTCTTTTACATAATATGTCCCTTCAGGACATGGCTTATCATAGCTTTCCACATCTTCCTATCTATCGTCAGTTCATAGCGATATTTGTTACCTTATTATCTCTCCTCGTTCATATTTTGCTATCCATCTCGTTATGTAGGTTACACGCTGTTTCTCTCCGCCACTCTTGGCTTCAGCAGATCCTGTGAGTGTCAAATTCTCCAAGACCTCATTCCTCCTTATTCTCATAATTCCCAGAAAACTGTCCTATTTGTTTTCATTTTCCTTAAAATATCCTAGTTGCTCACATGCTCCATCAACGGTATTCTCAGTATCCTTCTGTAGAATCAGAGTCTGTGTTGATTTAAGTCTCCTCTTCATCCGTAAATAAAACCGCCAACATTTACTGCCATTGAAGAGAATTGATGTTACTTAGCACTTCATCACTTTTTTCTATGTTTCTAATGAAATTTTCCTGTTTTTTAATACTTTGCTTGTTTTTTGGAAGGCATCATTGCAATGTAACTTCGGATTTCAAGTTGAAAAGTTTAGACGTCCCAGAGAACATACAAAATAAAAATTCATCCAGTCTAGGAAATAGGACCTATTCATTGTAGACATAATTGGATTGAAAAAATTGAATTGTAACTGCATGGGAGAAAAAACTGAGCAAGTATTTGGACCCCACAAAAAAATTTAGAAAATTTGTGAACCGTAAAAATAACAGTAGTGTTCCTCCTTCTCGGCACACCTGGATCTGCCTCGAAACGACTGGAGGTAGTGTTCCTCCTTCTCGTCACACCTGGATCTGCCTCGAAACGAAAGTGTTCCTCCTTCTCGTCACACCTGGATCTGCCTCGAAACGACTGGAGGTAGTGTTCCTCCTTCTCGGCACACCTGGATCTGCCTCGAAACGACTGGAGGTAGTGTTCCTCCTTCTCGTCACACCTGGATCTGCCTCGAAACGACTGGAGGTAGTGTTCCTCCTTCTCGGCACACCTGGATCTGCCTCGAAACGACTGGAGGTCATGCTGCCATTTCTGACCTTAGGTCATTGGTCATGACCCGGAAAGAAATGAATATACTCCAGAAATCGACGGAAATAAAATAATATAATAAAGAACTGGATGTAAAAAGTAATAATAAAAATACAAATTGAAGTAATAAAAATGTGTAAACTTAAAACTACGATTATCCGTGTTGGGACAGAAATGGCAACGAAAATCACGTGAGTAAAATCCCTGGACACATCATCACCTCAGAGTTATAAAAAAGATTACTTTGTACGAAATTGTACATATCATCCTCAAAAACATTTCCATCTAAACGAAACATCCCAAATGTGCATAGATAACTCTCCTTTTTACACATAGAACCTGGCAGAGGGGACTTGTTAATTAAACACATAAAATTATTCTCTGCGCAAGATGATACTACAGACAACAACAATAATAATAATAATAATAATAATAATAATAATAATAATAATAAATGGTCTTATTTTACAAAAAGCATGGCTGTCGTGGCTTCTGATTTTAAATGGTTGAAGGTGTTAACATTATATATGCTTTGTCTTTAGCGATAGACCGACGGTAAATATCCTATTCAGAACCACAGATATACTTGTCATTTGCCTGACCATAATTAGTTGTGTATCTATCCAGGGACTGACACACTGTGCATATTCGTTCACGAGCCGGAGTATTACAGGGTTGTTTTTTTCTAAAGAGTGATGCAGCCAAGCTTATTTAAGAGAAACATCGAGATATTGAGGCACACCCACTGTCAGAGCCTGAGCTGGGTTACCCGACCTGAAATTATTTCTATCTAGAAGCCACATTCAAGGTTATGCACTGTTTTGGTAAAAACTAATTATATTATTACACATATTTGGTTGTGATACATGTGTCTTGTATACCTTTATCAAACTGAGTGTTATGATGGATATAATGGGTTTTCTTCTCAAGCATCATTTTGTTTACGTGCTGCTCTCTCAATAAATATTTTTTTTAAAAATGATTAAAACATACAAGAAAGAAATGCTGCTTGTGAATCCCTTAACCATTATCTTTGTTGAATTGCCGGGATCATCGAGTCAACAAGAACAATCCTTTCCTTAGCTGGCATAAAAAAAATTCAAATCCATCCCTTAAATCTGCCAAAGATTTCAATGAAGCGCTTGATCAACTCAAGAACTTTTATGAAGATCAACAAGCTGAATCAAGCAATTCGCTTGCGCTGGCCTCTCTCAAGTGCCATGAGAGAGCGCGGCTTCGGGCAGCTGTTTCCCAGGCCTGGCCACCTCTCAGTATAATTGTCCTTAGTTGCAACTCTGTCCTTCGACGGACCCGTCCCTGAGCGCAATCAGTTCAAAGACAGAGACGCAGCTGAGAGAAGATAAATAGGGAGCTACAAACTACTCGAGAGTAATTTGTATTTACTCCACCCACCACTAGTATTTTTTGTTTCGAGGATTTCAAGTAGTGAATATATCGTATTTTGCAAAGCGATAGCGAGCGGGCGAAGTCTGCTAGTGTATATATATATGTATATATATATATTTGTTGAACAGGCACCCCTACCTTAACTTAACCTCATTTTGAGAGTAACTCATATTTTGATACAATAGTTGTCAGTGAAAATGGATACCCTACCACACCTTGTCAAAATGATTAAATTTCCCCGTATCCTTAGCAACTAATATTCAGAATGTATGTGCTTATAAAACTCAGTAAATTTCAAAATCAGTTATTCCAAAAGCTTGAAAACGAAACAGTACTAGGGATTTTAATTTAATTCTGTAATTAAACAATTTGAAGATTTTTGTTTCTGTTTTTTGAAACATGATAATTCCTGTGTAGCGATGGAACCATATTTCTAAATTAGTAAATTTTGATATATATATATATATATATATATATATATATATATAGATATGAACAGGGTGTTATATATATATATATATATATATATATATATATATATATATATATATATATATATATATATATATAAAGAGACAGACAGACAGAAATTTGAACTGGCTGGGATAGCTTTGAAGAGACAGATAGAAGACTGAGAAAGGTTGTGATGAAAGTGAAAAAGCCAACGAGAAAGGTCGGATTGTAGGAATTTGTAATAAGTCGATATTAAATAACACGTATATAAAAGATAATAGTAAGCGTCACGCGGGTGATTGCGTGCAACTGTATTTTATTAGAGCATTAAGTGTAAAGCATTAAGCGAGGGTTTCTCTAACCCCGCCAACAGTTCTTTTATACGCTCTTAAAATAAAAATAGACTGCATCCAAAAGTTTGTATGCTCGTCAAATGTCACACACACACACACACACACACACACACACACACACACACATATATATATATATATATATATATATATATATATATATATATAAAATACAAGTGAATAAGTTAACACCTAGAGCTGACAGTCTGTTTCACGCTAAACGAAATCCACAGGCTATGTGAGTTGTGTTTTTGCCCGACTCTTTATATATACAGGTCAGTGATGTATTGTGGGTAGTCTATTGGATTGCATTTTTTTAGTTATTTCACCCCAACCAACTGACTAGTACGCAGGGAGTTAAAGAAAGTGAAAGTGAGAGAAAAGACTGGGTATAGTGGGAAATGAGGAAAGGATAAAAGATCAAGTAAATGGTAGTG